TTATTCATATAGAAATGATGACACATTACAAGAATTGTAAAATGTTTTTTTCCCCCCCAATGGCTATATTTAACCTATTGGCAGGGGAAACACCAAATTCTATCAGGACATTCTTGCCTTGGCCTTTGCTGTGGAGGAGATCAATGAGGACTCCCAGATCTTACCTAACATCACTCTTGGGTTCCACATCTATGACAGTTACCACAAGCCAAGGATGACCTATCGCACCACTCTGGACCTGCTTTTCAAATCCAAGGAATTTGTCCCAAACTATAAATGTGATGGCCAGAAAAATCTCATGGCCATCATTGCAGCAGTTGTCTCTGATACTTCATCCTACATGGCAGAAACCATAAATATCTACAAGATTCCACAGGTACTTTGAACAGGGGGCTGAGAGAGAAACTTTGATTTCTTTTGTAATTAATATTAAAGATTGGGTTTTTACCATGCCTTTCTGCAGGATATTTCCCACAACTCAATAAGCTGGCTCACGGTAATCCAATCCAAATAATCAAAATCTTTTATTATGACCGTAGATCAGAAAATTAAAATTTAAAGCATACTTTACAAAGCAAGAAAAATAAACTTATTTGAAGGGGTCAGGAGACATTGTGTTTTTACCACCTGCTGTCAATATGTAGCAAGTCTCCTTGCTATGTCTTGGTTGGTGTCTGTTCATAATAATTGAGTATAAAACTCAACTGTTTTGCCTGGGAATTGTTGCAGGATTGGTGCTATGTGATCCCTTTGTAGATCTCTATAGTAACTGCAGTAAAAGAGGACATGCTTGACTATTTCTATTTCTCCAGAATCTCTTACAGATAGAGTTTCATGGATAGGTATTTTATTATATCTGCCATAGAGAAGGGCAGAAGGTAATTCAACATGTCTAGCTCTGAAGAATTCTTTCCTTAAGATGGGAAGAGTTAAGATGCTCAGACAGCTGGCAACTTTCCAGGTGTTCATGGTGACAAGTATTCTAGAATTCTACATTAGGAGGTTAATTGTGGTTTCTAATCCAGTTATATTCCACATGTGAGAAAACATTTTATCTTTGGTTTTGATTTCAGTGTAAGGACATTTTCATTCAGTTCCCATTCAACAGTCATTTTCCCATAGTTTTTCCCTTGATCTCATGAATAACTCTCTCTCTCTCTCTCTCTCTCTCTCTCT